TCAAAAGAGAGTGAAAGAGATACAGAGAAAGAGAGAGCGCCAAGATTTGTTTAGGCAGTTCCCCAATTTTCATCACTATGGGTATGTCTTCCCTCAATTCGAAATCAAATTGAGATATTGTAACTAACCTTTGCAATATCAGTTTACAAGAGAAGTGTAGAAATTCAAACTCCAAACCCTATGTTTGTTGTTGATCATATCTCCTTCTTTACACTTGATCTTAGCAAGATCAAGTCACACAATATCTCCAATATGATCCTCTAATTACCGCTACTCCTTTGACTGAACCTTCTGTTCTTCAAAGTTTTCGCTCGGCTGAATCCAAATTATTAGACGATGGCACTGATCTAGAATGGAGGTTGAATAGATCACTAATTTTAATAATTTTCACTTTTAAAAAATTATTCTAAAATATGCGAAAGCGGCCTCAGATCAAAAATTGTCTAAATGAACCTTTATTCGAAAGATCGGATATGCGAAACCGAATGAAATGATTTTGATGAAATGGTAGAATCAGTAAGTTTCCCAATAAATTATTCAAATGAAAGTCACTTAAGGTGAACCAATTTCCAACGCTTAATTGAAGATAAAGTTTTAATTGACAGTATATCAAACAATTTTTGTGTTATCAATATATCAAACACTTGGCGTGCGAAACACACCAAGTCAATTTCCTTTGAATTTGTAGTGCAGAATTTGTATCATTTGCAATCAAAGTGATTGCAATGGTTTTTCACAACAGTTTTTAAAACACTACAAATCAATCGAAATATTACTAACAATTGATTTCGCACAAACTTCAACAATGTAAAAGTAAAGAGATAGAGAAAGAAAGAATGACATCTGATTTGTTTAGGCATATCGCCTTTCTTCCTCGCTTCGGGTACGTCTGCCCCCAATTCTAAAAATAGAATTGAGATATGTATAATATATGTGTGCAATATTCAGTACAAGAGAAGTCTTAGCTAACCAACAATCTAACCTAATTTTTAAGGTTGAATCTAACCCCTTCTCTCCCCTTGATTCCAGCTGAATCAAGTGCATCAAACACTTCGAACAAACCTCTGGTTACCGTTACTCACTTGACCAAACCTTATGTTCTTCAAGTCTTTCACTCGAACGATTTCGATCGCAAGATGTTTGACCCCAAATATTTCAAAATAATCTTCCAGTTACCGTTATTCACTTGACCGAACCTTCCGTTCTTCAAGTCTTTCACTCGGCTGAATTTGTGATGCAAAGATTTGTGCAAAAATCCCCCAAATCTCTCAAGATCTTGGAGGAGAAAACCCAATAGTTTTATTCAAGAAAATCCCACTGAATCTCTATCCAAACTTGATTTACAAAGCCTATGTTTGGACGTTATCACTCTTGACAAAGCACAATCAATAAAGATGATTATGTGTGATTATTGATGAATGCAATTGTGAGAGTAAAGATAAAGAGCAATGCAATGTATCTTTCAATTTTCTTGTCTACTTTTCAAAGTGATGCATATGAGTATATATATATATATATATATATATATATATATATATATATATATATATATATATATATATATATATATATATATATATATATATATATATATATATATATATATATATATATATATATATATATATATATATATATATATATATATATATATATATATATATATATATATATATATATATATATATATATACACACACACACACATGAATGAATAACAGAAAAAACTGATTTTGGGAACACAAAGACTCAAAAAAATGGACAAATAGGCACGAGAGGTCAACATGTAAAAATTGTGAGTCGACCTGAACAAGACAGAATTCAAAACTGCACAAAAAAGGAGTCCATGCATCGACGCATGCGAGGCAGAAAAATCAAAAAGTGTTTCTTACAGTATGTGTCGACCTGTAGGGGACCATGTGTCAACCCAGGGTCGGCGCAAGCAAGGTAGAGAATTTCAGAACATTTTCTCTGCAGTATGAGTCGACCTATGACCACTGTGAGTCGACCTAAGGCTCAAAAAATGACTCAAAACTCATTTTTGACATAGTGTATGATCCTATATGTCTAAATACATGTATACAGATCTTTATGCACGTTTGTAAAAGATGAATGCATGGCTTAGACAAGGTGATATCGTCCAATGTACAAGTACGAAATATCCTAGTTTTGACATCATTAAAACATAGTAAGAAGGAACCCTACCCTCACACAAATTGCAAAATTTTGCCCTAAGCTTTTAGATTGATCCTCCGGTTACCGCTACTCCTTTGCAAGAACCTCCATTTTTCAAAGCCTTCGCTCGGCTGAATCCAACTTGACAAGACTTGTGTAAAAACCTCTTAATCAACCATTGCTCTTCGAGTAAAAAATCCTAAAGGTTTTATCCTTAAAACCCCCAAAGAAAACCTCAATCCAATTTTGATTACACAACCTAGATTGGACCTTCTCAATCTTAACTTGCCAACAAACAATAAAAAATGATTATGTCTAATTGATGAATGTGTCAAGAAAGGTTGAAGATGATGAGAATTCTTTGTATCTTTTAGATTTCAATGCTTAGAAATGATGCATGAATGAATATTTATAAGCATGTGTGTGTAGAAAAGAAATGAGCAAAACAGATTTTTGGCCAAAATGCAATTTTAAAATTTGTTTCAAAATGTATTGACCCTAAAGTGGAATGATTCAATACATCATTTGAATGAGTCAATACAAGACCAAATGGAGTTAATACATTCAAGGCAATAGCAAAATTTAAAGAAAAATGTTTCAGGATGAGTCGACTCTTAATACGGGTGAGTCGACCCATCCACTTAATGTATCAACCCATTTTCCTTTTTATCGACCCATTTGAGACAGTGGCAAACAAGAATGAGTCGACCCATTCGAATAATGTATTGACTCATAGCTTCTTTGTGTCGACCCATTTGAAGCATAACCAATTTCTTTAAAATTCAACTCATTATGCATCGACCCATACTGCGTATGTATCAACCCATGCAGAATTTTTATGTGACAAACTCATATTTTGGCATTTGATGGCTTATGAAATCTAGTCTTGCATGTCTTACGATGATGATGCATATTTTGATAAAGATTGTAAGGTGAAAATACACAAATTTCTAAGCTACCTAGTTTTGACATCATTCAAAATAAATTTAAGAGCATATTCTACTCATAGAAGACACCTGAAGAAGTTTGGTCGGGACATCTACCTAATCTAGACAGAGTTATAGTATTTAGTTGTTTAGCATATGTTTATATTAGGCAAGACAATGTCAAACCTAGAGCTTTGAGATGTATGTTTCTTGGATACCCTCAAGGAGTCCAAGCTTATAGGTTGTGGTGTCTAAAATCAGGTCACAGGAGGTGTATCACAAATCGAGATGTAGTTTTCAATGAACCTGATATGGCTTTTAAAAAAAACGATGACGATGATCGAAGTACAAAGATCTTTGTAGATGAGCTGGAACAGTAAGAGATTCTTGTTGAGGTGGAACATAGTGATGATGAATTGCATAACCTAGATGAAGTCGAAGAAGAATCACAAGTTGCTGATAAAGATGAGGAGACTGATAATGACTACCTAATAGCAAGAGACACGTTGAGAAGAGTCATCAAGACACTTCAGTGACTTGGTTATGCAGATCTCATAGTTTTTGTCTTAATCTCTGCAAGTAAGGTTCTTAATGAAGAACCTAGAGACTACAAAGAAGCTGTGAGGAGTCGAAATAGGACTAAATGGATGAAAGCATGGATAATGAGATGAAATCTCTTCATGATAATAACACTTAGGAGTTGATCAAGAAACCTACAAGGGCCAAGTTAGTCAACTGTAAGTGGATTTTCAATGATAAGGACGGAATCAAATGAGTGACGTCGAAGAGATTTAAGACAAGGTTGGTTGCTAGAGGGTTCACTCAAAACAAATAGTCGACTTTATTGATATGTTCTCACCCGTTGTAAAGCACATATCCATGAAAATGTTGTTAGTCATGGTGGCAAAGTTTGACCTAAGACTTGAATAGATGGATATGAAGACAACCTTCATGTATGATGATCTAGATGAAACAATTGTGATAAGGCAACCTGAAAGATGTGCAAAAAGAGAAAAGGAAGATTATATGTGCAAGTTAAATAAATTGTTATATGACCTAAAATAATCTCTTCATCAGTAGAATAGGTAATTTAAAAAATTCATAACACACATAAATTTTACGTTAAATTCTTATGTTGTAACTGTGTTTCTTATTTTTTTTTTCTTACATTTAGTTTTTCTAACACATGTTATGTTAAAGGTGTCTGAATAGCCCTATTTTGATGACATGTCCACTCGTTTGAACATATGATGTGTTTTTGTGTACATTTGATGTTATATTAAGGGCTTGTTTGGGTTGTATTATCCAGAAGAGACAAAATGGATAATTTTATAAATTCATGGAATTCATGAGAAACGTATAAGACAGATGTAATGAACAATTTCATATTTTATTACTTCAATTCCAAACTCATTCGCATGTATAATCACTTCACCAATTACAAAGAAAAAAAAACTCCTAAGATTAAAGATAAAGCAAAACAATATCCTTATTTTACATGTGAAAAGGCCTTGGATTAAGAAAGAATACTCTAAACCTAATCGTGTAAATGTTCCGTGTAAATGTTACAACAGTTCCCAGACAAATGCTTAGATAACACGTTACACAGGCAATGAAAAGGCCCTGGCTGAAGAAAAAACTACTCTAAACCTAATGGTGTAAATGTTACAACAGTTCCCAGACAAAGGGTGTAAATGTTACAACAGTTCCCAGACAAAGGGTGTAAATGTTACAACAGTTCCCAGACAAATGCTGGGATAACACAGGCAAACAATCTCCATATTACAAGAAATATCAAACAAACAGCAACAACCTAGATGCACCATCATCACCAAAAACAGTTACACATAATTACACGTGCCTATTATCTAATTCTACAAAAAGAGGTTTCTGAAAAATTTAGTGTCTGTGAGAATGTTTTCGGCTGCCATAAGTAACCTCTTTTGTGTCCCCGCTCCTTCTATTAATCATCCTTAGAGCAAACGAAATGCACCCAACAGCCGCCATAGCATAAAATGCTCTGTCCGGAGACAAAGCAAGACCAGAAAAATAAGACCAGTATCCAGCTATGAGATAGACAACGTATAGTCTAACATTACTGAAGGGTACCCCAGGGATAGACAAAAAGAATGAATTGAACTCAGGCTTCGAATTGCAGATGCCATGAAGTATGACGCCAATGCAAAGTACTGAATCTAAGAGCCATGGGAGGCTCTCACCCATTGCCAGCCTCTGCAAAATTGATAATTAAAAAATATAAAAACAAGAGAATTTACTGCATGGAGGATAATCTAGATCAGAGATTTAGAGTATAAGAGTATTCGCATAGGTTTAAGAATGATAAGGTGATAAGAATTGACATATCTTATACCTGAAACCAAGCTACAACAGAAGGGGCAAACATCAATGTTGCAAGAAGATGCAATACCAACAAACCATGGCGATGATGAAACACATCTAATTGTGCTTCACCAAAACTTTTTGATGAACCTGGACTGTTGGAGTTGTCTTCTGAAAGAAAAGTCCGGTTAAAACTACCATCAAAATTGTACTTCTGTCTTTCAGATACCTTGTATTCATCACTATTAAAATCGACAGTTTCGTTATTTTGTTCATGGCTGCGACATGATGCTGTCAGGAAACTGCTACAGAAACAAAGGGAAATTCAGTCATACTAAATGGAATTTCCAGTTTTCCACTAAACTCTGAACCCTATACACTACTACAGTTAGCTGAGCAATTTCCTACAACATACAAACTTAATTAAAAAAATGATATGTAAATTGATTAATCCATTCTTCACTCAGATTAAAAATGGTATTAAAGCATTTTGAACATGCATTGCAACAGAAGACAGTGGCATAGGAAACAGAAGGAAAAAAAACACGCAGTAAGATACGTATTCTCTAAGCCACCACCAACACACACAAAAATTATAAGCATTCACATACATGCATATTTAAGAACTATCAAAAGTGAGTACATCTGCACACTTTGCAGCAACAACTATAACAAATGCGATAAATGTGGATTTACCTGCATAATGCATTGTGACAGCAGAAAAAATGAGCAACGAGAAGTACAAGGAGACCAAAGGATGGATGAACCAAGCATGCCAAGGTCACTGCAGTAATCACTGTAACTAGTACTGGATTTGCTCTTAGAACCCGAATCACCTGTTTAATGTAAGCATCCCATGGGCAATGGTTAATGTGATGAACTTGAAGCACAAAATAAAACAAAGGGTGGACAGTGAGTCTTCTTCAAATCTTCTACTAGTATAAGTACCTTTCTCTCATCTACTTTCAACTTCCATTTAATCACCTCTTCTCTCAAAAAGATTGTGGAATGCATATATAAGTTAGTACTTTACCTTAAGAGAAAAGAAGCTAGACGAACGATTAAAAAACCTTCGGAGAAATATAAGTCGAACATTTTGTTCCCACATTTGCCACCTACAAAATAAATATCCATGATATGTATCATTCAAAATGCAGTAGCATGACCCCGTATTTCTATGATTGATTGGCAAACTTATAAAACTTCCAAGAGTTAGAGAAAAAATATTCACAGGAAATGTAATTTGCTAAACCAGATTGCTATTAAGATATAAACCCTGCTTGACTTTAGAAAACATGTATCAATAGCACAATTTAAGGAAGTAACCATCATTCTGCTAACCTTGCCTTGATGAAAATATGTGTAACCGCGGCCATAAAGAATACCAAGTGAGATATCAAAATTATAATGGCTATAAGCCCATTTGCTACGATATAACAAATTAGAGAGATGCTGGTGAAGCTAGCAAGTGAAGGAAATGGTTGAGACATCATGAAGGAAAGGAACAAGGCAAAGAAAATAGGTAGAATGGCTAGGGGAAAGAAATGTGACATCAGTGTCAAATTGGATTCCACAGCAGTCAGCATTGACGGTATCTGTAGATTAAGATCCCAAGAATATGCTTGCTGCATTAGAGCAAAGAAAACAACGGCAATAGAGAAACCAATAATCTGCATAAACAACATTAAATTAATAAAATTAGTAAGCATGAATTGACACAAATGCATAAGCATTGATATGGTATGGAGATATGAAGAAACAAGCAAATATTAAGAACATTTGGATCATATGCAAGAAAAACAGCTTACCTTCACAAATTACTCAAAAACACATTGCACAAAAATAAAAAATAATAAAGAATTGTCAATGGAAATATAACAGTATAGTATATTAGAACCGCATCAGAATACCGGAAGTAAAAACCACTGAATTGCAAGATAAGCAATTGTGAAAATAAAGGTTATGGAAATACATTACCTTCGAACTATACAATAGCAGAAGCCTACTTGCAGCAGCACTGAAAGAAATTGAAATGCTACTTTTATAAGAACAATGTGGGTCAACCTGTAGAATAGAAGTGAATAAATTCAGCAAAAGTGAGTTTGGATGCTAATAATTTAAATTTGCTATGTTGTCCCTTCACTAAACGTGATGTTGTCCCTCCACTAAGTATGATACATGACATGTCGCTTAGCTTTTTTTTTGTTCAAGAATTAAATGGGGAAGAACGGTTCAGTTTAGTTTATTGGGTGATTCCTACCAGAAGAAGAACAATGGTTTTATCAGATTGCTGAGTGGAACTCCACTGTGCTGGTGAGGAATCAACAAAAATTGTTTCACTGTTCAAATTTGGGTATATATGAAGTCCAGATATGTCATCCCAAGCAAGTGCAACAGGGGGAAAACAGCGCAATTTACAGAGCCCTGAAATACCAAGCTGTTAATAAATACTATGCAGAAAAACGATAATCACAAATAAAAAATGCCTTCAACTATAAGCAGAACTCTTATCGTAAAAATAAATAAAAAATAAAATATAAAAACTATAAGCGGGACTGTTGATCATGTTCAGCATAATAGCCAAATAATCCTCAGTCTATTATTTAAACAGTTGGAGATCATTGCAAAGTAGGAAACAAACCCCTCATTCTTGATAACTCTGAACAACTTCCAAATTCTCCATATAAGTCTAACAGAGCCTAGAAAGAGCTCTGGTAATAATTGATAGAAACCGATATCGTATTACTAGAAAATAGGGAGGAATTCCTCTTGATTAAAGAACAATGACAGAGCTTTGAGGGTCAGCTCACTTCCCAATTCCAAAAGGTCCTAAATCACTTGAATGACTAGATGGCTACTCTCTAATCCTACCTACCATTTACTAGAAGGGGGGAAGAATTTCTCTTGGCTACAGCACAATGATATACACGCCTCCCAATGCTAAAAGGCCCTAAGTCACCCAAACGACAAGATGCCCACTCTCTATTCCATCCTACCAATTTATAGGCGACAAGCCACCTTTGAAGAGGTTGCTAGCTATGAAGCACTGACTCTGTTAGGGCCTGTGCTGAAGTGATTGGACCGAGTGATTAGTTAGGGGGTTGCTTAATGCACCCTAAGTATTTCTTCCCCACCCTAATGAAAAACCAAAACTACCGTTAGAATCCGGAAATGCATCTCCAGACGCACCCCAAATACATTAAATCCATACGTAAATGAGTCACACCCTCATTTTTGTCAAAAGAAATAGTTCGGAAATATACTTCCGGAAGTATACCTCCGTAAACATACTGATGTCTCTCTTGCTGATTTATGGGGCATTTAAAGCCACATCTGTCACTTATTTAAACTCTGATTTTTGGATTAACTTATTGGATTAACACTTATACAATAAGCACTTATTTCAAAAAATAGCTGCTTATATGAGTGTCTAATTAAACTGTTTAGCCAAACAAGTAATCTATAATTTTCTAATTAAGTGTCTAGAAACTGAATGTTTGATGTGTTTGCAGAACACTTCTTCAATGGACAATCAGATTAAGCATCTTGTGTATCTTTTGGAAAATGCTATGCTTAATCTTCCACCGGGGCAAGAAGAACTGGCTTGGTTGACAGACTTCACTGGGTAGTCAATAACCAACGATGTGCCTTAAATCAGCTAGAGAGACTATCAGTATGTTTCCGAAAGTATACTTCCGGATTTATTCTGGAAGTATATTTCCGGACTTTTTTTTTGACAACAAGGGTGATTCATTTACGAATAGATCTAATGTAAGTGGGTATAGGGTGAATCTGGAAGTGCATCTCCAGACTAAATTTTTATTAAAAAAATGAGGTGAGTCTCACTTAGAACTTGTTTTGGTGTGAAAAAAGTGCGTCCGAAAATGTTATTTATATTTTTTATTGCTTTATTAATTGTATTTGAATTTCTTTTTCCATCTCTGGTAGGTTGCAACCAATAGAATACACCAAAGCTCCAATTTAAGTAAATAATTAGGTCTAGTACTAGTGTGGTGTGCAACTAGCACGATGACAACCCTCGAATATAATAAGATTGGTGACCTAATAAATCTAATACCCTATTCCTACTCCTAGCATTATAGAAGCATTATTGAGTGATGAGCATTCAGACGTGTTAATTTGAAGAAAATAATCAGTCTGTTAAACTGGCTCGTAAATACATTGACTTGGCCTCATCAAAATGTTCTATACTAACTAAAATTGGATTGAATAAAAATAATCCCTTCACACAACATGCATTTCCATGACCTACAAAATGATTTTCTGCTGGTTTTAGCATGCATGTTAGAATGTTGTCCATAAGTAAAGAAATGAATGTCATAACTCTTGAGAACATGTACGCCAAAGATAATGTCATCACAAAAAAAATCTAAGAAATTGGCCAACTGGAAGTGGATTAGAATTCTTACTACTACTTTCAAGGTCCCCAGCCTCTTCTTCTGGAAGTCCAGAGTTTCTAATTCCACAACTGACGGTATTCATAAACAAAGTAACAGGAAGAAGGCCCAAGCTAATGGAAAATGATAATTTAACAGCTAGAGGATGAGATTCCTCCAACAGCAATTCCTGCATAATATTCCAAATTTGAGCATTAGACAGTGAAAAAACATCACTAATTGTTACATCCAAACTTAAGCTTTAGACAGTGAAAAAACATAAGTAATTGAGATTTAGGAACGAATGTTAACATCATGGCAATATTTCGCTACTGTTGTAAATAAAGGTTTCATATTTATATCATTAATTTGACTGCTGTAACTTAATACGGAAAATGTAAGGAATATTTGGTTTGCCCAAATACCAGTACATTGTTGTAATTCTGCAATACTACTTGTAAGCATCAAAGTGAAGGACTTGCACTAAATAAGGTCTGTATTTCATGAACTACTTAGAAATTAGAACAATTGCTTACATAAAAGAATTGAGCATTGGTCTTGCAATGAAAAATACTCAATAAATAAATAGAAGAGATAAAACTGCAATGAAGTTTACAGATTAGTCAATACTACATGAAAATAAAAACCTTTTGCGAATAGGTAGATTGGAGCATAAACCATGGAGATAAATCTTTATTTCCTTCCTCTGGGTTAAAGAACTGTCCAACTGCCATAGATGCCGCTGGTGGTGGTCTTCCTGAAACAGTCTGAGCACTAAGTTGTCACGTAGATGTACAAATAAGGATCCTACATTCAACTAGAAACACAACATATAAAATTCATCATTTTTCATTAAAGGACGTGTTAATGTGTTCTATTATTACCTTATTTCCTACATATGATTTAATTTTCTTAGATACTGTTGAAATTTCCACTTTAATTGCGGTCCGCTCCTAGTCGCCTTAATTGCGGCATTTGACTTGCCTTCATTGCAGCCCTCAACACCTTCATTGTGGTGGGTTTGGAGGGGTGGATTTAGTCCCACGGCGATTAGAGTGATTAGAGATATGGCCTGTGTTTTGTTTATAAGTGGGGGCAATCCTCACCTTACAAGCCGGTTTTGTCGGGTTGAGTTAGGTCCAACCCTTACATTTTGTGAGATAGAGTAGATTCATAGCTGTGATCTTTCTTAACTTCTAAGTTTTTGGGATTCTTTTCTAGGGCCATGCCTAGAAACTTTAGGCCTTTGACAAAAGTTATTAGAGATGCATCATATAATGTAAATTATTAATCCTCGTATTATTGTTTTGGACTATTGAACTGCAAAAACCATGTTATCATGCTTGAGAACTCACTTCTAAAGGATGTCAAATGGTAAGCAATAATGCATTTCTTGATACTTAAAGGAAATCATTCAGTTTTGATATTGTACCGGACGAGGTGCAACTGAGATTGTTAAAAATCTGAAGCTATGCATATCTTCAGGTCCTAGCCAAAATACAGCAGATGGAGGAGGTTGCTCGGTTTGACTGCCAGGTTCAGGCTGTAACAGTATTTGCATATTCAAATTTATGAGTAAGAATACCAAATTAATTAAATTTCTTCCAAATATCATTTGAGACAAAGATTATGACCTCAGTAATTATAACTGTAAATTGTAATGTACTTAAACACTAATTCAAACAAGAAATAAATCAAAAGAGGCACAATGTACCTGCCGTGGTGCTGGACCTGAGGGAATATGCATCATCTTAGATGTTACCTCCACAACCCTATCATTGAGAGGCAAATCTGAGGTTGACTTTCCCTTTTCAGGCCACAGGTGAAGTCTGATTCCAGAACATGGCTCAAGATTGGTCACTAACACAAAATGACTTTTTCCATTTGAACCCTACATATCCAGATTAAAAAACTGAAAAAAAGCACCATGGCATGATTTTATTTAAGATTTTGACAAGTGCACTATGGCATGATTATCTATGATGTAAAACAGAAATTTAAAAATCAGGAATTCTTGGAGCTAGGAAAATAATAAGAACGTGAATTTTATCCCAGTCAGTCATGCTTAATTAACATAAACGTTTATACCTTCTACTTGAAATTTAGCAATGCTCAACAGATCAAAATTAACATCAGTTTATTTGATGTTGAACAACTGATTTCAAGATATTCTATGCAGGAAGTTGAGTATCTAAAGAGATTTAGTTTATTGGAAGTTGAACAACAAATTTAAAGAGATTTAGATCTAGTGTCTAATGAGATGTTTGATTAAATATCTCAACTAACTATTAGAACTTACAAAATAGAAATGTTACAGTAATAATATCATTTTTATCATATTTTTTACCGAAATACACATTTTTTAAGCATAAAAACCAACATTTTTTACAACTATTTAGTACTAGTTGTTGAGGATAGCAAGTGTGAGTAGTATGAGTAATAGTCTTACATTGGCTAGAAATGTGGAGACTTGAGCATTTATAAGTGGGAGAACACATACACCTATCACCTTAAAGTTTTTGGTGAATATGTGGTGTGTCTCTCACAAAGGTGTTGCTCTAGAAAAGAAGTCCCACAATATTCAATGCCCCCTAGTGAAAAAAACGCTTTCAAGAGGAGACTTGAGCATTTATAAGTGGGAAAACCCATACACCTATCACCTTAAGGTTTTGGGTGAATATTTGGTGTATCTCTCATAAAGGTCTTGCTCTAGAAAGGAAAGTCCCACAATGTTCAATTTATAACTCCTTCAACAAAACTCTATCATAAAAAATAAAATTATGTATGCATTATGTTCATAACATCCCGTTTTATTGTTTAATAAAAACAGTTAAATGTTATTTGACTTTTATAATTAATATTTTTATTTCCAAAAATAATAGTATATATTAAATTAAAACTCTTTTAACTGAATAGTTTAACTTAAATTGATATCATTAGTAATAATATATTTTAATTTCATCATTAAAAATTAAATTCTGATTTTTTTACATTTTTTAATTAATATTTAATTTAATAAACTTCCTGTAAATAATTCATAATAATGTTCTAAAATATAAACGAGATATATATACCTATAGTAAGAGAGAAGCAATAATTAATTACAATGAATTAAAAATAAATGTAAATTACACCAACAATCATGAATTTAAATTACTATCAAAACTAAGACATTAGTTTTATTTAAGATGTTTTATTTTTATTTTTATTTTTTGGGTGAAAGGGATATCGACTAGTGTGTGGATATGAGGTGGAAAGACGGAGGATTTTTTCATTACAATAGATTTGCATCAAGGATCAACCCTAAACCCCTACCTTTTAATTTAATTTTGGATGTATTCACGGAGCACATCTAAGAGCTAGTGCCAAGATGTATGCTTTTTGCAAATGATACAGTCCTACTGAGAGTTGAAGGAGAATTTAAACGAGTGGTTGGAGACTTAGAGGCGAGCTTTAGAAACCCATGACTTTCGCCTAAGAAGAAGTAAGATGAAATATATGGAATGTAAGTTCAACAAAAGGAGAAGCGTTTCTAACCTAGAGGTGAAAGTTGGAGACCATATCATCCCACAAGTCACGCGGTTAAAATATCTTGAGTCTGTAATACAAAACTATGGAGAAACAGACGAGGATGTAAGTCATCAAATTCAGCTGGGTTATTGAAATGGAGGAGGGCTTCAGAGACTTTATGTGATAAAAAGATATCGCTCAAGTTGAAGGAAAGGTTTTATCAGATTGCGATAAAACTTGCAATGTTGTATGGGACAAAATGTTGGACGCTTAAGAATCAACACGAGAATAAAGTAAGCGTAGTAGAGATGAGGATATTGCTTTGGATGTGTGGTAAGACTAGACATGATAAGATTAGAAATGACAATATTAGAGAGAGTGTTGGGGTAGCACCTATAGTATAAAAAGTTATGGAAAATAAACTTCGGTGGTTTGGATATGTAGAGAGAAGACCTTTAGATTTTGTGGTAAGGAGAGTAGAACAGATAGAGAGGGGTCAAATAGTTAGAGGTAGAGGAATGACCTAGGAAAACTATAAGAGAAGTTATTAAGAAAGATCTTGAGCTTAACAATTTAGATAAAAATATGGTCCTGGATAGAATATTATGGCGGAAGTTAATATATGTAGCAGATCATACTTTATAGGATAAGGTTTGGTTATTATTGTTATATATATACTACACAACTCAAAATGTGTTCTCCTTTATATATATTATTTATATTTGTAACAAATCATTTTAAACACTTCATTCAATTACTACATTCGAGACTGTTAGCTCTTTTTCTCCTTCTCTGCCTAAATTCCTATCATTTTGATAGTGGTTTTCATCTTTATACGTTGAATACTTTAGGTATTGTGTTAGGTAATTCACTAGGCCTAATAGAGTTAAGACTTCAATTTTCCTCAAGGATTATATTATGTACTAGAGGTGTATTTAACAGTTTTTTAATATGTTGCTGTTTCTGTTAGTTTTTGTTAAGTGGCCCATGGCCCATCTATTTATTTTAACCATATAAATATATATATTGTAAGAGTTGTTTGAAGGAGGTTATGAAAAAAATTGATTTTATTGCTCTATCTTTTAATGCAATTCAGATCTTGGTAGTTAGTGTAGTCTATCATATTGTATTGTGAAAAAACAAATAGACTAAACAAATACCAATTTTTGTATGTCCAACCACCGCCTTCGACCATCCATTGCTAATACAGTCACCTCATTTATCTGAATGTATAGGTCTCTGTCAAGGCCCCCATCATTCCAATGAATATTGTGAGGACATGTAACTGACCTCGGCATTTGAGATCCTGCAGCAATTACATGATCAAAATGTATAAAGTTTTCACAATGTGGTAGGGTGTAATCAAAATTACTGACATAGGTCAAAGTTTAAAATCCATAAATTTAAAGAAACATGTAATTGAAATAATCGAGTAACAAAAGTGATCATTTTCCTATGGAATAAAATATTTCAAAAAGTTGTTCACTGCATCTTTAGTTATGAGAAAATCACTACCAGCAAACATTCAAAAGAGACTAAAAGCTATTTCAATATAATACAGCTAATTTGTTCCAGAAGTACATAAAAATAACATAATGATGTCTTCTTTATCCAGTACCCACAGATCAAGCATAATTTAACTTATACTATGAGCATATGCTTCAACAATAAGAAGCAATATAATAGTACCAAAATACCTATGAAATGATTACAAAAAGGAAGTCAGTAAAATTTTAAGCCATGTTAGATAAGAATCCAAGACTAAATTAGAAGTAATCATAGGATACATGATAATAAAATTAGAAATGGCAGCAAATAATACCAGAGGTATCTTTTGTATTCTGGACTGGAATGTTCATAGACAGTTTAGAAGAGGGTAATTGCATCATCTGGTTGAAATTATGTGATATTCCACTATGCAGCATTCTTGCCAAAACTTCCAGCCTCTTCCGAGAATCAGAAAGAGGTTGTCCGGTTCTGGCATCTATCAAGCTGAGAAGGGTGTGTGATACCTAGATAAGAATGTAAATGATAAATCGAACACGAGAGAGAACCAAACTTTAATCCTTGACACGTGAAAAAACCACTTACTTGAACAACCAGTTGATTACACCACATTATAGCCTGATGTTCCATTGACAACCACACATTTTTCATGGCTGTACTGCTGATCATGAAGCCATGTGTTGGTGGCACAATATTATAAAGTGATGCTAACTTTGAACGTACCTAGATAAAGGAAAGAAATAACTAAAAATAAACCGACATACCAAGGTTCATATTTAGAAGTCATGTGAACTTTTATTAGAAAGGGATGAGAGAGATATTTCATTTTCTAACTAACTTTGTATTTCTGTTATTGATTGTTACAAGAGTTACAACACTTTGGCTTATATACACATCAGATAGAAGTGACCTGCACTAGCAGGTTCTAACAGAATTAATGACCTGCAGTAGCAGGTGTTTACACAATGCTCAAACTGACACTTGTCAGTCTTGACCAAGGTTCATATTTAGAAGTCATGTAAACTTTTATTAGAAAGGGATGAGAGAGATATTTCATTTTCTAACTAACTTTGTATTTCTGTTATTGATTGTTACAAGAGTTACAACACTTTGGCTTATATGTACATCAGATAGAAGTGACCTGCACTAGCAGGTTCTAACAGAATTAATGACCTACAGTAACAGGTGTTTGCACAATGCTCAAACTGACACTTGTCAGTCTTGACCAAGGTTCATATTTAGAAGTCATGTAAACTTTTATTAGAAAGGGATGAGAGAGATATTTCATTTTCTAACTAACTTTGTATTTCTGTTATTGATTGTTACAAGAGTTACAACACTTTGGCTTATATACACATCAGATAGAAGTGACCTGCCCTAGCAGGTTCTAACAGAATTAATGACCTGCAGTAGCAGGTGTTTGCACAATGCTCAAACTGACACTTGTCAGTCTTGAGCTTATACAACTCTATACTCTAATAACTTTAAAATTATGTTAAGGTGTGAAGAGATTAGGAGAGAAAAGTGGGAATATGATTTGGTGAAACTGAATAGTAACTTGAACATAGAGTGATGTCAGAGTACTTTAAAATAGTATTTTGAAATAAACTGGGATAAATAGTACTTTACCCAACCAACCAATCAACCAAACTTTATTCCACTAATATCACTAAGTGAGGTCGGCAACATAGATCAAATTATGCCATAATGTTTTATCAAAACCATGTTTCTATCCAACTCGTTAATCTTAAGATCTTTTATAATAGTATGTTCTCTTTATGGTTTTTTTAGATCTTCCCCTACCTCTAATTGTTTGGCTACGCTTCATCTAATCTACTCTCCTTACTACATAATCCACGGGCCTCTAAATTGGAAAGGAAAAAAATGACGGTGAATAGTGGAATGCATATTATTAGATGCCATTATATTCCAAACTTACAAAATAAATGAATGCTTAGTTTTGGTGTAAATATTTAACCTAACTCGTGAGATACTCTTTTCTTTGTATAATTGGTAAAATAAAAATTGAAATTTTTATTTACAAATTTTATTTTATTTTTTATTAATAGTAGTTTATGATGAATGCATTACATGTATAGTGAAAGATAGTAAAACATTAATATTATTACCTGATAATCATTGTATGCTCCAGAAATAGATACAACAACAACGTCAGAGAGTATTGGACTAGACACAAAATGTCCCGTGTTAGTGGTTTGCATCTCGTATCCTGCTCTCCATTCTGAATTTACACGTGCAAAGTAATGACCCAGAGAAGGCTGCAATGCCACAGGAGGTGATCTGAATAAAATACATGTAATCTCGTTAAACATTTAAGCAGATCATAATTAGACAATAAGAGTAATGGAAACCAAAAGAGGAGAAGCACTATACTGATGTGGGGCTGAGAGTGTAAGAACAGTTTGAACTACTGATTTCCTAAGATGGGGATGGATAACAGCAGCTCTAGCAACAAAACCACCCATAGAATGACCAACCAATATGACACTTTTGGGCAAACTTCCAGAATTCGCAGCACCTTCTTTTGTTCGAGCATCATAAGACACATTATATTGGTCCAAAATCTGCAAACAATGTTGCATCATAACGATGTTGAACAAAGTGATCAATTCAGGAATCACTGCCTCAAGCAAGTATAGTAAGAAAGTCAGATAAGTACAAACTTCAGCACTACATGAGGAAAGAAAGTACTAATAAGGTATACGTTAAACTACTTGAAAAAAGAAAATAATGTTGTTCAAAGTAAAAACATAGCCATCCAGTATTTTCCACCACAGATGATCAAGAACTGGAATCAACAAATAAAGTTTGCTTGCCCTAAGATAGAAAGAAAAGGCTGGAGGAAAAAAATTTCAGAGTTGACCGTTTAACCAAAATCAGTCTAACATGGCACATAATTCAATGGATTTTTAGTCCACGGGTACTCAACAACAAGAAAAACAGTTTCACTTTTTGGAGTCTGTGTGTTCCACTAAAGGAAACAGCCTGACTGCACATTGATAAACAAATCATCCATCTACAAACTACAAAAAAATTCCGTCCTCAATATTACCAGCAAGTCATATTTATCCAATATTCATTTATAAAGGATAAAAGTAAGATACCTTGTGTATAGCATATACAACATATTCAGTGTGCTCTTCAAGAATTGCACCATCCATGGCAGAATGTTCGCCTTCAAGATCAACGGCAAACCAGTCTAGCCTGCTAGTGTACTGGTTAGGTAATTGGAAATTGGAGAAACTTATATCTGCATCTCCTTCTTTGGGTATTTGGGAAGCTTCTCGGTAAAATGAATGCTCAAGGGGACCATTTTGATATGCCCTGTCAGATTCTGCTGCCAAAGATCGCACCTATTATGCGGAAAAAAGCAGATGAGAATGTTCATAGAAATATAATTCGGAGCAAAAATAGTACCATGAGCGTTAATGAAAAAACAATTATAAAAACAAATGAAATCAAAAATCATTATCCATGTTAGCTTCATAACTTGTATGGGATCTATATCATATTTCTCCACTTTTAGCCAAGCTTTTAATGGTTTCATCTTTTTCTGGTTTTCCAACTTTGCTAATAGAAAAGGACGGGGAATTTTACTTCCATAAGGAAATTTAAAAAAAAAATCCAGATAAAAAACTATTCAATAAAGAATATAACCCTAGATTCAATCAAATACCTTGTCCAGCAAGCAAGCAACACCAAAGGCTTTGAAAATGGCTAGCTAGAGATGCATATTTTTGTCTACATGTTATCATACAACCTAACAAATTAACCACACAAGAATCAATCTCTTACAACTAAACCAAATTCTTCCATAGGAATTAGATTGATGAATAAATACCACAAATTCCTAAGTAATGTTTAGATCATTAATTAAACTAAATGGTGTAAAACTGTGGCCTTCAACCACAACACCAATGCTTTTGGGATCTCAACACGAACTGCATCGCAAACACACAAGCCAGATTTGTCGCGATTTCCAGCAATTTAAAGAATCGCAACATAATCGCATCCACAATGTAAAACCTTACCAAAATAACACATGCAGTAATAAGTTCCAAGATTTCAGTTTTTGATACTACCATTTATACCAAATTAAGAAATATCTCCTTAACCAATAAAACCAAACCAATAAACAACAGCCAAATTCATAAAAGAAGAAAGAAGACCTTGCCTGTTTGTAGCTTCCCCCATTGCCTGGAATGAAAAGAACAGGTACACCACTAAGTTTTTTAAGATGCTCCCTATAATCAATCTTTCTCCAACCTTCGTGATACAAATACAACCCATACTTCACCGGCGTAACACTTTCCGAAGACGTAATAGGAATGTAGGTCGGATACATATAGGTCATAAGACATCCATTCGAAATAGGCTTCAATAAACCATACAAAGCAGCAAGACAAATCCCTACTACCACAACAATCAATACTCCAACCCTGACTTTTCCTCTAAACGTCGGCATTGATGATCAAAACCTCTACTCCAAAATCTCTAAATCACTACAAACTTTGATTTCACCTCAAACTAACTAGCTCGAAATCAAAATCAGAAATTCAAATTCAAGTAACACAAAAAACAAATTAGTTTGACTAATTAAGCAACAAACTCTTCCAACTCAACAACCAGATCAAGAACTTACAGTTGAAACCAACTCTAGTTTCATATCTCAAATCAAGATTCATATAACCATGGATCGAACTGAATCTGCTGCATAAGAAAACAAAATCAATTATCCACAGTTAAAAATGAGATCTAAAACTTCCGTGGCAAAACCACAAACAAGCCAAAAAAAATTCAAAAAACAAACGAAAAAGGAAAGTAAGAGAAATTCACAAACAGTGAAAACGAAAACTACTATATCAAGAGCTCGAAGTTCAAAACAGAAAAAGAAAGAAAAAGCAAGTTCAATCGTAATGGATAGATCTGAAAGAACTCGAAGAGAAAGAGAGAGATTACCGAATCGTGAGAATGAAAAGGAAGATAATGAAAGAAATGGCGTTTTGGTAGCGGGGACGGAGGGTGCAACAGAAATTGTTATTTATATGAATGGAAGTTGGAATAGGAGAAGAAGCAATGAAGATTAGTCATAGTGAGAGTGACAGAGTCAATAATAAAAGAGTTGATGAAGCTAGGAGTATTATCACAACACTAGAAAACACTCATTGGGATCTAACTGGGGTTTATTTAATTCATCTAGTATGTGTGTAACTCAATCCCGCGTGGCAGGCCATCAAAATTAGTATTTCCTTTTTTACAAGCATTGACATAAAAAGAAATTACTATATTCTTAAATAATCAAAATTAATATATGGCATATACCATAAAATTTTGTTTGTCATTGCCCAATTTTAAATAGAAACATTGTCTTAAATATCATATTCAATTTCAATAATATCAAAAAAAAAGAAAAAGAAAAAAAAAATATATATATATATATATATATATATATATATATATATCAAGGTCTTAAATCTATATCTCACATAATTCTCTTTATTACATCTTAGTATGAGAATATCCACATACCAAAATTTATATGTATTAATCAATTGGGTGTAAGTTCTTGGATTTCTTATTCCACCCTATGTTGTAGAATAACACTATATAAAAATTCAAAAATATTTATTAGATTTCGAAGATGCATATGCAAACGCACCTCATACACACGTAACTCATTTGTTTTTTAGTCAGATCTCAATTTAATACATAAATTTAGTTCAGAAATACATTTCTGAAATGTCTTCGAAAAATATATTTCTGGAACTTGTTTATATTCACAATGAAGGTTGTTTATTCATAAACCAAACATCTGATTTTCAGGCATTTACACCTCAACTTCAGTTACGTTATAGTTTGAAATTGTAGGTTTATGCAAGAATCGTGATGGGCAAGTCACAACAAATGGGATAGTAATCTACATTTTTGGAGGTCAAGAGTTAATCCAATGAATAGATTATATGAGAAATTCTAGAAAGTGGGCAGCAATGCATTTGACCATACATCCTTGTCAGTGTTATTAAATTAGTTTAACCTTACAGCGTAAAAGTATGTTGTTAGTTCCATGATTCTATGATATAGAATTGTCCATGGTTCTATGATTGGCTAAATTTTGGTAAAACATGATCCTGCACTAATGTTAAGCAGGATGTTATAACATTTCCATATGTTGTGGTGACAGAACTGTTGTGGAGTGTTTTAATGTGAATGTCGTGACATCCATCTGCTGTGGTAACAAAATTGTTGTCATGTGTTTTAATCAGGATGTCATTACCAATGTCATGACATTACTGTCTGGTACAGCAGGAGCTGATGACAGAAATATTGTCATGTGGTTTAATCAGGATGTCATTACCAATGTCATGACATTACTGTCTGGTACAGCATGAGCTGATGACAGAACTGTTGTCATGTGGTTTAATCAAGATGTCATTACCAATGTCATGACATCGCAGTCTGGTACAGCAGGAGCTGTTGTTTTATATCACTTGACATAAGTGATTTGGATATACCTCATCAGTATGTGCAGGCCAAAGAGACTTAGTAGGAACAAAGTGCAAATTTAATTTGTGTTTATAAAAAGGATCTTTGAGACTTTTTAGGAAACTATAATATGCTTGTTTCTACTGTTGTGAAGAAGATTCTGCAGGAGTGTTCAGCAGGGTGAGTTTGGCCAGCTAAGAACAAAGTGTGTTGGATGTCATGCTGGATGGTATGACTTCAAACGTATGACACCAGGGCGCATGTTTAGGTTTATTGTTATATTGCAAGAGGAAAATCAGGCTATACTTCAGGAAACCTGTTATGACTCCTTAGTTATCTCAGGCGAGATTCTAGTCAAGGTTGGGCATAACATGAAGCAGTTGTGACCTAATTTGATAGCACCTAGAATTATGGAAATTAGTTTTACTTTGTTGAACCTAATGTTTGTTACTTGTGACCAGCCCAAGCCCAGTCTGCATTGCTACTTAAGGAGGCGCAGAAGCAAGGGAAAAACAAGCACTCACAACAAGAAAAACTTGAGTGTAGAATTAAGGTCTAAGATTTTGAGAGTCCATTGTGTGTGACCTTGTAAGTCACCCTTTGTATCTTTGAGTGCATAGTGGTAGACATGTTTAGGCTGTTATTATGACAGTGCTAATTATTCACTCAAAGCTTTTAAGCAAAAGTGTATTTGTGAGTGAAGAACTCTGTTCATCACGTGTGTGTAAGAGTCTTAGGATTCCTTGTAGGCCAAGCAATTGTATGTTGTATGACTGTTCTAGTTTAGCGTGTATGAACTGTTGTGTTCATTGTGCCACTCAAAGCTTTTAAGCAAGAGTGTTGTGTCTCTTGATCAAAGCTGTGAAGCAAGATCAAGGTGTGTTTGAAGATTGTCTTCATATTGTAATTGTGAATTGTTTATCACTGCGGTGATTGAGGGGGAGTGAGTGGGGTCTCTTGTCTAGTGGACTCTAGGCAGAAATGTCATTGGGTAGGTCTTATGTGAAGAGTGCAAACGGGTTGTTTGACTCTGAATTAATTCTACTGATAGTGAACTTCCTCCCTGACTTGGTAGCCCCCAGATGTAGGTGAGGTTGCACTGAACTGGGTAAACAATTCATTGTGTTATTTATCTTCCAGCATTTATAATTCTGCATAACTTAAATGGTTAGATAAATAGTCTATCTGTCTGCTGATGTCACAACAGACACCATGACATTGGTACAATTTAAAGTAATTTAAATTGGTCATGGTCTGTCCTCGTCCTTGTTGAGCAGAGATCAATGTTCTTGGGACATATGAGATATGCATACCAGAATTTCAATTGGTATCAGAGCAGACATCCTGTCTGTTCTGGATGAGATCTTGGGAGATACTTTCTGGTGGTTTAAACAAGGAAAAGTGGTAGCTGATTTGATGATCTTGCTAAATGGTTGAGCTACTGCTTATGGAGTCAAGGAGAAGTGTGTGTTTACTCCTGCTGATGAAGGATTATGTGTATCTGCTACTGTGCCCTCTGATATAGAAGCCCTAATGACCTGTTGAATGCTCTGACAGCTTGTGTAGGGCTTGCTGAAGATGTTCTTTTGATGGTTCTGCTGCATATTTTTCTGATGGAAGAACTCTGATATCAACAATTTTAAAGGCTCTAGTCATTCCAACATCGGGAGCAATGGGATGAAGAGAGCTAGTTATTGATATATGTCATTGTCAAGTTGTCTCATCAGTTGTAGCACAAGTATCAGGCCCTTGATTTGGTTGAGGATCTGATATTCAACCAGATGTTGAGACATTCCATCAGCAGAGATTGTGCAGAATTTTGTTGATTCAATGAGGTATAGCTGGATCTGTATTTATTCTAGTAAGATTCTTGGCAAGAAACTAAGGCTAGAATGTAGTACTAATGGAAGATGAAAACATGTCTCTTAGATCTGTTGAAGTGCAACAGGTGCATTCTAGTGTCTACTAGAAACATCTGAGCTTTATCTAGAAAGTTTCTTAGCAAGAAACTGGTCTAGAAGATGGTACTGGTGATAGCATTGCTTGGGTCAGTTTATTTCTGATCTAAGTACATAGGAGCATGTGATCTTGCTCATCCTGGAGGTCAAGGATAAATGGTTGTTATCTCTGATTTTTTGAAGAAGTCTCTACTTAAGGAAAGCGGGATTCCTTTTATACAGATTTTTGTGATCCTTCCTCTCTGAAGAATTAAGCCCTGGCATGGTTAGGTTCTCTAAAGAGGAGTGTTCTGGAGCAAGTGCATTTCAAAGGTACTATAGATTAGAATGAAGGTTGTCTACTCAAGTCTAGAAGAACATGGAACTCCTTGTCTGTTATATGGAGAAGGTTATTCTAAGTTGCAGAATGAAAGCCTGAACTCTCCAGCAGGATGTCTTATCAGATGTGTGGCATCTGTAGCGGTAAAAATCTTGAGCGTAAGCTATTGATTAGCTTAACTCAAAAAACAAGAGTCGCCACCGCACTTTTATTTTATCCAAATAAAGGAAAGGAAAAAGAGCGAACAAAACCAAAGAGTTCTAAAATAAGAACACGAGACAGAGATCAGGGTAAGGGGGTTGGTTACGCAATGGGAATGTGTTAGCACCCAAAACGTCTATAGTACTCTATAGGAGCCCTTTGAAATATTTACGCTTTTTGGTTTGAAAATGGTTTGTTTGAAAAGAGATTGGGGAGATGAGAAGAGAATTATTTTTTTAGATTTTTGTGTTTGGAGAGACTTATCGTCTCATGCCTACGTACCCATAAAGTGCAATATGGAATCAAAACCCCGTAGTTCGTGGTACAAATGACAAAAATTTGTTGGTTTTGATTGTTTTTAGATGTAAAGACAAGTCGTCATTTCAGGGAGAAAACTGCGACTATCCACCCACGAGTATTAAGACAACATCTGCGTCACATAGAGATGGAGGATTTGCTTGGATTATCAACAAGACTATCACTCAACATCAACGTGGAAAATGT